TCGACTCTCATGACTTCAAATGAGCCCAGGAGGCCTGGAGCAGCTGTGTGAACTGCTGCAGCCCCTATTAACTGCCGCTGTCTCCAGGTTTTGGTATTTGCCTCTCTTGCCAAGTTCAAGTCACTGTTGGCTACAAAATCAACAAAACGTGTTTTTATAGCAGTAAAACGGGTCCTCTGAAACAAGTTTACAAATTTTTAGACACTCACTCACCTATCCCTCTATTCCCCTTCCCTGTAAGGTCAAAAGATGGAGCAGTTAGAAGGCAGACCCTGCTAGGTTTGAACCTTCTCTCTAACAAGCTGACCTTCAACACTAGCTGGCCCTCTTTGTGCCTCAGCTCTCCACCTGCAACATGGGGGCTTGTGAAGATTAGACAAAATTGTAGGTGAAAAGCTTCTGGCACCTCCTGGGCCTGTGACCCACATAGGACTCACTTTACTGACTTCCTTAGATGCTGTCAATGAAGACATGTCACTTAACTGCAAAGAGTCTAATTGGGACCACATTCCCTTAAAGAAATCTGTTTATTAGGTGCTCATATTCTATTCTAAACATAACTACAACTTTTATATTTTTTGAATGTAAAATGGTATGTTTATTGTAAAAATTAGAAAATACAGGTAAGCAAAAGAAAGAAAAAACATCATTTGTGATTGTATTGCTGGCTGTGAACACTGTGTATGTCTTCCTAGCAGGGTGTGTGTGTGTGTGTGTATGTGTGAATTAGTGATTTAAAACAAAAAGTAAGCAGTTAGCATCTGTCATATATTGTGACACTGTTTCCTGCCTTCTCTGACTCAGTTTGGGATGGCTGTGTGGACTTCTGTTGTACAGGAGTAACTCACTGTATCCAGTTGCTGGAGGTCAAATTGCTTGGTTTTCTACTGCAGATACCTTTTCAATAGTTTTTGATATATATCAACATTCTAAGTTACTAAGGGCTTTTGATTGATTAATAACTATCATTGAGTTACTCTCTCTGTTCTTCAAAATCTTTTGTTTCCAGCAAAGTGAAACATTTCCTAGAAAGAGTAAGGCATTACATTATTCTGACCTGATTCCAGCAGGCATTAACATGTCTTGGAAGGACAGAGTGCTTTTTGCTTATGAGGTAACTTCCCCAGGGTGATGAGAAAGTAGTATATTCTTGGCCCATTTGCAAGGAACACCTGTTGGCATGTGGCCTAAAGGATGGGTACTCAGGCTAGAAGAGGAATGGCTCAGCTTTTCCCAGATCTAGAACCCACAACTTGGCAGAGAGCTTTCTGCTGAGATTAGTTAGCAATGTCACAGGCACCAGTAGCCCTGGGAGACTGACAACCTGCCATAAGTCCTGGGGCTTCTGTTCACAGGGCAGACTCAGAAGCAAAAAGTGGGAAACAAGAGATCTCACTGAAAACTTGGTGGAAAGTTAGTGTTAAATAAACCGATTCCCTTCTAGAGGTCTATTGGGAGAGAAACATATGCAAATAACAGATATGGCCAGAATATTGAGGCCTGATTTAAAACCAAAACTTCAGATAAAGATGAATTGTGAAATCCATTTTGTTTTTATCTTAAGCCTCTAGATTACGTTAATTACAGAATTAAGACTTTCATTTCACCAACTATAAATACTAGGCTGCATTAGTTTCATTTGTTTTACTCAGTCTTGAACTTTATATTTTTGGTGGTGAATCAGCCTTGGGTATAAGCTGGGTTTCACTGTTGGTTTTTGGAGCACACCTGGCAGACAGCAGAGAACTCCTGGGATTTTTGTCTCCAAAGATATTGGCTTCCATTTGAACTTCGGGATAGTCTTAGTGATTGTCATTGAAGTTTTATTCACATACCAGAGCACGCTCTTAGTTTGAGCCAGTGTTGGGCTGGCCAGGGCCCCACCTCCCAGGCCAGTCCAATCAACTTCCCAAGGTAGGGGTAGGGAAGGTTTCTCTTTGCCTTACTGTGTTTGGTGTTGCTGTCACAGAATATCACAGACTGGGCAATTTACAAGAAAAGAGATCTATTTCTTTCAGTTCTGGAGCCTAGGAAGTCCAAGGTCAGGGGTCTCGAATCTGGCCAGGGCCTTCTTGTTTCATCATCTCATGGCAGGTGGTAGAAGGGCAAGGGGAGCCAGAGAGCAAGAGGGCGCTAGAGTTGCTTTATTTATTTATTTATTTTTGAGACAGAGTTTTGCTCTTCTTGCCCAGGTTGGAGTGCAATGGTGTGATCTTGAGATCCTGGCTCACTGCAACCACCACCTCCCAGGTTCAAGTGATCCTCCTGCCTCAGCCTCCAGAGTAGCTGGGATTACAGGCGCCTGCCACCATGTCTGACTAATTTTTTGTATATTTAGTAGAGACGGGGTTTCACCATGTTGTTCTGGCTGGTCTTGAACTCCTGACTGACCTCAGGTGATCCACCTGCCTTGGCCTCCCAAAGTGCTGGGATTATAGAGGTGAGCCACCATGCCCAGCTCCAAACACACTTTTATAACAAATGCAGTTTTCCATAACTAACCTACTCCTGTGATAACGACACTAATCCATTAGGGTAGAGCCTTCATAACCTTATCACCTCTTATTGGTCCCATCTTCCAGTACTGCTGTATTGGGGATTAAGCTTTTAACACATGAACTTTGGGGGACACATTCAAACCATAGCAGCCTTATAGAACCACAGGAAAATGCAGTGGTGTCCTTCCTTGCATCTCCCTTGCATTGTAAAATTGCAATTGCTCTGCAATAGGCTTCATCCAGAAAAGTCCTTTATGTTTGCTGTGGGTTATGGTGGCAACCAGAAGGACCTGTCCTTGCTTCCTGGGCCACACAATCTATGATGCCAGGAGAGAAGAACACAGAGGGTTTTGTGGGCTGGGATGGAGCACGAAGCCTTCTTGCATTGGAGAACAGGATAGCTTTGGTGGGAAGAGGGGAAAGTCTAGATTGAAGTAATAAACAGTTTTTCAGGTGAGATGCAAGAGAAACTCCTAAGATTTTTATGGATGTTTTCAAGGCATGGGGGATGTATGAATTACAGCTCATGATCAATTATAGGACCATGCAAAGCAGTTCAAAACATCTTATAAGCAGTGTAGCAGATGTCAATCTTGGTCTAGACTCACATGGTCCAGAAATATTACTTCTTAATTTTTCCAGGATCAACTTAATGCTGAGAAACTCCAAGCTCTTGGGTCTAATATTCAGGTCAGAGGCTCTGGTGCCCATTCTTAGGATCCCTTCCTACCCTTCCCCTCTGCCATTGAATAGGGGGGTGCTGGGGAGTCCATGTCTAGGTTCCTACCTGCTTATAAGGGTAAGAAGAGTATTTTTTTTTTCTTTTTCTGAGACAGGGTCTTACTGTGTCACCTAGGCTGGAGTATGGTGGCATGATCATAGCACACTGTAGCCTCAACCTCCCAGGCTCAAGCAATCCTCCCACTTCAGCTCACCAAGTAGTGGGAGCCACCACACCTGGCTAATTAAAAAAAAAAAAAATCTTTGTAGAGACGGGGTCTCAATATGCTGCCCAGGCTAAGAGAGTATTATCTTGCTGCTCCTAGAACACATGGCCAGATGCCTCCAGCCTCACCTCGAGACTAAGGATTTTGTTTTGGTTTAAGGATCTGAGGAATTCTCTCTTTACATTAGTTGCTTTCCCTAGAGTCCATCCCTTTGTCCTCAAACACTAATCTCATTTCAGGATACACAGTATTACTGCCTCAAAGACTTGGACATTTGAGCAAGGAAGGGAAGCGTTTTGTGTGACACACACACACACTCTTCCTCGAGTCAAGGAGAAGCTGAGCCTCCCAGTTTACAGTTTGAAGGTATAGGATGGGAGGAATGAATGGAGAGAAAATATAAATTTATATCTCAAAAATTATTCTGCCATTAAAATGTAATATATTTTTCTTTTTACAACTAACTCTTAAGGTCCCTAGAGCCAGATGAGATGTGGAACCCCTTGGTTTCCCTGGGTAAGAGCTTGGGGTAGGTGAGGAATTAGTAAGCTGATTCAGAGGTTCCCCACAAATAAGAGTAAACGTATCTTCCCCAGTATCTTTAATTCCCCAGCTGTCTGATAACCAAATAAATATCATGGCTTCATGTTGACATTAAAAGTATTATAAACTCCATTTGGAAGGTTTTTATCAATAAACAATATTTTCTGACACTAAGAACAAAATTAAATCTTTAGTTAAACCAACTTTTGGGTCTTAGGATCCTTTATACTCCTACAGAGTCCTGAGACCGCCTGAGAACTTCTGTTTATGTGGGTTGCTTGTATCTATTGATATTTACCATATTAGAAATTAAAACCAAGAAATTCAAAAAGTGATTAGTACAAGGATAAAAAACTAATTACATGTTAATATATGTATTATATTTTATGGAAAATAACAATACTTTCCAGTAAAAAAAAAAATAACAGGAGTGGCCTTTTTTCATTTTGCAAATCTCTTTAATATTTGACTTAAGAGAAAACAAGTGGATTCCCATATCAGTTTCTGTGTTCAGTCTTTTGTGATTGGTTGCTGAAGAAAATCTGGCTTCACACAGATATGCTTTTGGAAAAAAGAAGACTTCACGGACCCTGAAAGGGTCTCAGGGACTCACAGGAGTTTTGGGATCACTTTGAGAACTGCACATTTTAAACAGATAAACTATGAGGGTATGTGATGGATTTTAAATGAAAAATTGTCTTTATTAAGAATTTGAGTAAACTGTGGGTGAAATCAGTCCCTTGTGAACAGACAGATGGTAGTTTAATTGGGTTAAAAAGTATTCCTTTCCTGGGTGCTAGTTCAGTCTCCCAGGACAGCCAGAGTCAGTTTCATACTTCTTTCTAATTGGCTTAATAATTTTGAAATACAGTTTAATATCCACAAATTCACCAGAAGCAGTCATGCTATGATTTTATATTTATTTATTCCTTGTGAGTAGACATGCTATGAAATCACAGGTATGCTATTTTATGGTGTCATGTGTCTTGAACGTTGCGCTCTCTTCTTACAGAAATACAAAGAGTATGAGAAAGATGTTGCCATAGAAGAAATTGATGGTCTCCAACTGGTGAAGAAACTGGCAAAGAACATGGAAGAGATGTTTCACAAGAAGTCTGAGGCAGTCAGGGTGAGTGCCTCTGGTTTGTGCCCTGTATTGCCTGAAGACACAAAGGCAGTTTCAGGGACTGGCATTGATGAACCAATCTCTCAAAGATAAAAGTTGACTCACTCAGCTATTATAGAAATACTTTTATTTCTACAGTCTGGTTAACCAGGAAAAGCAGTCACTAGGGGCACAAACTGCCCTTTTCATAGAGGATTCTTGTGTCTGTTTCCTTCTGATAAATGTATGCGTTCAGTAGAGGTGCCACTGATTTGTTCAGCCATGCAGCGTGGGCCTGTAACTTTATAATGCATTCACTAACTGCCCAAAACCATTCAAAAGTACACTGGGGTTCAACTAAGCTCTATTCTGATCTGAACATTTTCTTGGGTAGGTGTGTTTTGTTATTTTCTCAGATGGCTGCATAACATTCCAGTCTGTGAGTGTGTCATAATTGATTTAACTGTTCCTATATATTTGGATGTCTGAGTTGTTTGAAAGTTTTTATTGGCCAGGCGCAATAGCTCATGCCTGTAATCTCAGCACTTTGGGAGGCCGAGGCAGGCAGACCATCTGAGGTCAGGAGTATGTGACCAGCCTCGCCAAGATGGTGGAACTCTGTCTCTACTAAAAATACAAAAATTAGCTGGGCATGGTAGCAGGCACCTGTAATCCCTGCTACTTGAGAGGCTGAGGCAGGAGAATTGCTTGAACCTGGGAGGCAGAGGTTGCAGTGAGCTAAGACTGTGCCACTGCACTCCATCCTGGGAGACAGAGCGAGACTCTGGCTCAAAAAAAAGCAAGTTTTTATTTAAGAGATGTGGTCTTGGTATCTTGCCCAGGCTGGTCTCAAACTCCCGGGCTCTAGTTATCCTCCCACCTCAGTCTCCTGAGTAGCTGGGGCTACAGGTATGTGCCACCTCACCTGGCTTGCTTGCAGGTTTGACATAAATAATGCTGCAGTGAATCTTCTTGTATATTTATAGTGGATCAACCAACTGAGCACCTACTACATGTGAGTTGTTTCTTCAAGGACTGTGTATGTACTCACTTATGTTATCCTTGTAACACCCCCATGATGGATGTTACTATTATCCCCATTTTACAAAAGAGGAGACTGAGAGGAAGGAGTTGAGTAGCTTCTCCCAGGGCACATGAGGAGTGAGAGAGAGCTCCAGCCATATGAACCCCAGAGTCCACATTCTTTACTGCCTCCTCGCCTTCAGTATTCCGGAGTGTATGTGTATTTCCTTAATGTGAGTTCCGGAACACAGAAGACAGTTGAGAGGCTCAGAGGCAATCTTCAAGGTTCTTTATGCATATGAAAAATTTCTGTCCAGATAAGGTTGTGCCAATTCACAGCTGCTCCAGCGGGAGTGGTATGCAAGTGCTTATTTTCTGGAATCCTTGCAAAAAAAAAAAAGCGCTAGTAACAGTATTGTCAATGTGAGAGGGGGACATATTGTTTTAACTTACATTTCTTTATGAATCACAGAGTTTTAGAGGAGAAAAGGACACAAATATCTTTAGGTTTTGCTTCTACAATTGACAAAGTAGCCCTGGTGTCTGGAATTCGGGGAGCTTTGTGGGTGGTGGGGGAAGGGAGTCACGTGGCATGCTGCTGTGACACAGAGGTCCAGCCAGCACCAGAACCTAGACCTCACCTCCTTGAGGCAGTGGACCCATGTGGTCAGTGAGACATGGGCTCTGGAAGTAGTGGAACTGTTTTGAATCTCAGCTGTGTCCCAAGGTGGGAGATCAGTGAGAAGAATTGAGTAACCCCTGTGAATCTCTTTTTCCTCATTTACCATCCTGGAGGTATTAGCAGGAGTCAGTGATTTAATAAATACGTGCTTACATTTATTGAATTCAGATGCACCAGCCCCTGTGCTAATCACTTCATGTATGTCATCTCGTTTAATTCTTGCATCAACCTTAGGAGTGAGACACTGTTATTATCGATGTCTTAGAGATGAGCAAACAGGCTTGGCAGGATGAAGTCATTTGCCAGGTCACATGAGCAGGGCTCAGCAGTTAATTTTTACACCTAGGTGGTGGGGTTGCAGGACCTCTGTAGCGATACAAGGCATTTATTTAGCTCAGTGTCTGGCAAACAGTAAATGTTCAGCAAACATTTGCTGGTACTTCTGGTTAAAGGGCCTTCCCACCTGTGAACATCTGATAGGAGGTAGTCTTGCAGCTTCTAGAAGCACCTGGTTCAGATGACAGGAGGGAAGGTGAACGGGGTTGAGCGTCTTCATATTGCCTAATTTTGAAAGCTTTTGCCTTAAATTAGCGAGGTTAGAAAGAAAAAAGACAATTCGATATGGTGGGTGTAGTTCCTTTGAAAACAAAACATAAGTTGCTCTGTTTACATTGAAATGTTCCCAGAATAAAGGCAGTCAAATTCCTTGCAACGTGTATTCTATGTATTTTAAAATAAGTATACAGGACCTCTGTAAGCACGCTTGATGCTCCAGCCTATAATGTCTTGATGAATTGGTCCAGTGTTATGTGGATTTTCCCACCCCTGTCTTTAAAGAGAGTTTGTACCTCACATAGGGGTTTAATGTGGAGATAGTAGAGACGAGCCTGGTCCCCACTGTGAGCCATGTGGCTCTCTTGGCAACAGTCGGGACCCATGTGCCATTTGGAATGAGATGTCCCTTTGGGGGCCCGAGGAGCAGTGAGTATAACCCTTTTCATATTTTGATGGCACCTTGATTTTCCATTAGGAAAAGTTGCTGTTTGCCTGTGGGATTTGTGAACATTTGAAGAGCAAAGACCCCAGGTCCAAATTTGCCCATGGGTTTGCAGTGGAGTCATTATTTGTAGCCTTGCACTGGAATGCACCGCTGTGAAACAGGGTGGGGTCCTTTCCCATGCCTTTCCCGGTGGGGTCACCGGGCAGTGACCCCACACCACTCTTTTCTAAGAGCTCAGGAACAGAACAGATTTTAGGTTTGGCCTTATCACTCTGATATGCCATGCCTAGGAATCTTCCCTTTCCAAGCCCCTGTCCCTCACCCCCAGCAGCTGGAGGTGGGTCCCAGGTCCAGGTGCCCCACCTTGTGTTTTCCTAGTGTGCGTTAGTGGTGACTTGAGGGGCGTGTGTAGTAGAAACCTGGTTCACAAACAACCCTGATTAGTAACATTTCCATTGATGTATATAAAATATTTATGAGTCTGGCAGTAGCAATTTAGGAATTGGCAATAACAACACCTTTAGTCTATGAAAGTACGTTCAGTTAGCGCTGGGGAAAAAAAGGAGCACTACAATAACCTCCTCCTTTAATGTAGCCTGTCATCGCCTGCCTGTTAAACAATGTTGATCTTTTTCTCTGTCTCTTCTGGCTTGATTTCATCATTTTCCTCCATCACATTTCCCAGTGATTAGTTGAATCAGAGTGATTTTATCATCCTCATCTCCTATTTGAATTACTCTCCACTATGCAATTATCCTATCACAGAAAGTCCTATTTTCTCCCCGTCAGATGTCTGAAGTAAATGTGAAACCTAAAGTGGGCTGCCCATTACATAACCCCTGTCATCTCGTTGGTAATGGACTATATGTAACTTTTTTTTTTTCAGGCTAGCAAATTATAAATAACCTTAGCTTCAGTAATTGCCATTAACATAATGGTGTCATCATTATGGTAGCATTTCTTAAATAATATTTTCTAGCGCTTTTTAATGCCATTGGTGATTTAAGTAATTTTTTCACACTCACACAGAGGCTAGCTATAGGTTATTTGATACGGCCATGCTCCTGCTTGCTTTTGTATATAGCAATTGTGCCCAAGGCACTGTCTCTCACCTTCATTGTTCAGACATATTTATGCCTCCAAGTCCTCAATTAATATTGCTGACAATTTGTCAAGTTTTAAGTCTCTATGAATGGACGAGAAATGAAGTCCATTTGCTTTTGGTTCATTAACATTTCTAGGGATATTTCACGTGCTGGACATGGAGGAAAGGATATGCACCCATCCTCTGCTGACTATGGATGTTCATCAGGCCATTCCTAAGTGACACCTGGAAATGTTTGTCTGTGTCACAAGTCAGAGCTCATCTTTGATGTTGATGGAAGGCAAATTTGACACCATTTCCCTTTCTCCTGAGTTGCTGATGTTGAGATATGTACCCTGATTTGAGGGTAGGGAGAAGGCAGAAGGGTTACATTGCATGACCTTGTTTATAGGCACAGGCTGCCCCCAGCCTTTCCTCTGTCTTTAAAATCTGGCCCTTCAGGGAGAGTAGCACAAACTATCAATCAACTGGAAGCATCATCTGGGGCTCCAGGGAGCTCTGCGCAGGCACAGCCAAATGTAATGTGCGGTGGGAAGAGCGTCTGTAAGAACTACTGCGTAACCACTAACCTCTGATTGTAAGGATATACTTTGAGGACCAATTCCATCACAGACGGGGAGATGCTATGATCCTGTGATTTTGGTGTGGTCCATATAACTGGGATGAACAGCGCAAGAATAAAGCAGATAAATCAGGAAATGACAAAAAGGACTTTGGCAAATTTGTAATTTTATAGTAGTATTCTCCAGGGTGGTTTTCTAAAGGTGAATTCCTCAGAGTGGATTTTGCCTTTGGTTGTGCGAAACAGCTCTGGGGTGGACACTGCCTTCATCACACTGATTTGAACTGGACTTATAACCTCCTTCTGTCTTCCCAGGTGTTCCTGGTTTCAGAGCCAAACACTGATCCAGAGGGCTTTAAATGTCAGGCTATGCAGACTTCAGACCTCCACAAACTTTAGCAGGTTTCAGAGAGGGAAGGGGCACTGGGGGGATTATAGGATAGTATCTGTTTTGGTAGCATTTCAAGCAAAACATTACAATTAATTAGACATGTCTAAAAGAATGAACTCTGGGGAATGTGAAGAGATATAAAAAACACGTTGTAGCTAGACCACTCCGTGATAAGTCAGTTGTTTTCAAACCTTGGGTAAGATATTTAGTAAATTTTGAAAGCACCCTGAAACTCACAGCTGTAAATAAGCTTAATCTCGT